CAAGCCCAGAGTTCAGGCCCCACGACCGGACCCCCCCAAAAAAAAAGACTATAAAGCTATAGTAATTAAAACAGAAGTACTGGCATAGAGCTAGACATCACCTGGAATTTTAGCTATTCAGGAGGCTGAGACCTGAAGACCTGAAGCCAGCCTGGGAAGAAAAGTTCATAAGACTCTTATCATCAATTAGCCACACAAAAAAGCCACAAGTGGAGCTGTGGTTCAAATAGAAAACCAACTTTGAGCAACAAAAGCTAAGGCACAGGGGCTGGGAAGGTGGCTCAGTGGTAGAGCACTTGCCTTGCATGCCAGAGGTCCTGGGTTCAATTCCTCAGCACCACATAAGCAAAAAGAAAAAAGCAAGAAGTGGCGCTGTGGCTCAAGTGGTAGAGCCTTGAGCTGAAGAGCTGAGGGACAGAGCCCAGGCCCAGAGTTCAGGCCCATGACCGGACCCCAAAAAAACAACAACAACAAAAAAAAAAACAAAAGCTAAGGCACAGTGCCCAAGTTAAAAAAAAATGTAGACCAAAGGAAAAGAATTTTTAAGGATTCCATACATCAATGATTTAACAAGGTTCCAAGACTATTCAACGAGGGAAGAATATTCTTTTCGAATTTGTTTTCAATTGCAGGAACAATTGGGTCTCTAAAACAAACAAATGAAATTGAACTCGTATTGTATACTGTACACAAAGAAACAAAGTGTTTCAAGAGTTAAATCTATAAAACTCTTAGGAGAAAATAGTAGTAAATAAATCTCTATAACTTTAGACTTGACAGTGGACGCTAAGATTTGCCAACAGAAGCATGAGAAAGCAAAAAGAAACCTACACAAGGGGAGAAACAGCTGCAAATCATGTATCTCAGAGTACATAAGTAACTGTAACTTAACAATAAAAAGACAGACCACCAAGCTTAAAAATAGGCAAAGGATCTGAATAGGTATTTCTCTAAAGAAGTTATACAAATGGCCAATAAGCACATGAAAAGATATTCCAATATGAGCCATCAGAAAAATGCAAATCAAAACCACAATGAGCTATCATTATCACACATATTAAGAATATAATTAGAGTCCAGAGCGAGCGAGCTCAAGCCTGTTGGTGTGCCAGAGCAGAGCAATGCCTAAATCAAAGGAACTTGTTTCTTCAAGCTCTTCTGGAAGTGATTCTGACAGTGAAGTTGACAAAAAGTTAAAGAGGAAAAAGCAAGTTACTACAGAAAAGCCTATAAAAAAGCAAAAGACAGGTGAGACTTTGAGAGCTGTGGCATCTTCTAAGCAGAGCAGCAGCAGCAGAGATGACAACATGCTTCACATTGGGAAAATGAGATACGTAAGTGTTCAGGACTTTAAAGGGAAAGTTCTAATTGATATTAGAGAATATTGGATGGATCCAGAAGGTGAAATGAAGCCAGGAAGAAAAGGTATTTCTTTAAATCTGGAGCAATGGAGCCAGCTGAAGGAACAGATTATTGACATTGATGATGCAGTAAGAAAACTGTAAAATCTGAGCCATATAAAACCTGTACTGTTCTACTTGTTTTAATCTGTCTTTTTACATTGGCTTTTGTTTTCTAAAATGTTTTCCAAGCTATTGTATGTTTGGATTGCAGAACAATTTGTAAGATGAATAGTTTTTTTTAATGTGCATTATTAAAAATGTTCTGAGTGAAGCTCATTGTCAACTTTATTAAGGAGGATTGCTTTGTGTCTCCCACCTAGTGTAAAATAAAATTAAGTAATTATAATCTTAAAAATACATATACAATTAAAATAATAAGCAATGTTGAGGATATGGAGAAACTGGAATCCTTAAACAAGGCTGACAGGAATGTAAAATAGTAAGCTGGGCACCAGTGACTCACGCCTGTAATCCTCGCCACTCAGAGGAGGCTGAGATCTGAGGATTGAAGTTTGAAGCCAGACCAGGCAGAAAAGTCCATGAGATTCTATTTTTTTTTCTTTTGGTTGTGGGCCTGAACTCTGGGTCTGGGCGCTGTCCCTCAGCTCTTCAGCTCAAGGCTAGCACTCTACCACTTGAGCCACAGTACCACTTCCGTTTTTTTCTGCTTATGTGGTGCTAAGGAATCGAACCCAGGGCTTCATGCATGTAAGGCAAGCACTCTACCACTGTGCCACCTTCCCAGCCCCTCCACAAGATTCTTTTTTTTGGGTCTGGTGGTGGGGCCTGAACTCTGGACCTGGGCGCTGTCCCTCAGCTCTTCAGCTCAAGGCTAGCGCTCTACCACTTGAGCCATAGCACCTCTTCCAGCTTTTTCTGCTTATGTGGTGCTGAGGAATTGAACCCAGGGCCTCAGGCATGCAAGGCAAGCACTCTACCACTGAGCCTTCCCAGCTCTCCACAAGATTCTTACCTCCAATAAACTATTCAGAAAAATCCAGAGTAGCACTCTGGCTCAAGTGGTAGAGTGCTAGCCTTGAGCATAAAGAGGCTCAGGAACAGTGCCCAGGCCCTGAGTTCAAGCACCAGCACCAGCAAAAAGGAAAATAAAAAAAAGTAAAATGGTACAAGTATTGTAGAAAAGTTTTATGGTTCTTCAAAATGTTAAACATGGAAGTACAATATGATCCAGTGATTCTACTCTCTCTCTCTCTAGAAGCAAAAACAAGGCCTTAAAACAGGTATGTGTCAATGTTCACTGAAGCATTATTTCCAATTTCCAATAGCTGAAAGGGAGAAACAATCCAAATGTATATCAGCACAGGAATATGATTTAGTAATAAAAATAATAATATATACATACAATGAAATATTATTTTGTTATTAAAAAGGAGTGAGTGAATTCTAAGGTCTGGAGGTATGGCTTAAGGTGTGCAATGCTAGCCTAATAAGTACAAAGCCTTTAGTTCAAACACCAGTACTGAAGGGGTCAGGAAAAAAAGTAGATGAACCTAAAAACATTGTGCTAAGTAAAAAAGTCAGATATGAAAGGATAACATGTACAAAAATATTTAGAATAGGCAAATTCATAGAGACAGAAAGCGCATTGAAGGTTATAAACTTTGGGGACTATAGGAAGAGAAGGAAAAGAGTTTACTTCAAAACACAAAGGTTTTGGAAATAAATACAGTGATGGCTGTTTAACATTGTAAATATAATTAAGACCATTAAATTATACAACTAAAATTGGTTAAAAACATTGCAGATTAAATGTGTCAGAAAAGTCTTGATGCTATCAAAAATGTTACCTATTCATTTACTCAGTGGCCATTGTTCATAATTCCATCCTCAATGTGTTCTATAAAGCATACCTTCATGCTGCCCAAATGACTGTGCCATTCTGCTCCACGCATTACTCCTCCTGGGATATTCTCATCTATAAAAGCATTAAGAGAGGCAAGATCATCAAGACAACAATGTAAGGCCTTCCTTCCCCAAAGCACCACAGAAACAATAACAGTGTTGGGGAATATACTCACCTGACTTATTTGGGCAGCTAGGCTGACCCATATGCATAGATGGATGGTTATTTGCATAAAGAGATGCCAAATGTTTTAGAGTCTCTTTGTTTTCCACTACAAAAAAGAAAAATTCACAAATCAATGGAGACATCTAAAAGATCTTTGCCTAAGTTCAACATCACAAATACATGTTAACTTTCTCTCCTTCTAATAAATCTTGCACCCTACCTAAGTTTATCAAGTAGCGATTACAATGAATCATGTAGTTTTGTTTAGTACATGATAAGCAGATTTTGAAGGCAAACTTCTTCCTTATATTAAAAGATATTAACGTAGTTTATATAATAGACTACTATGTTAAAATAATGAACTTTTCTTGGTATGCCTTACCTCACTTGGAGGCAACTGTGACCTAATAACAATAAGCTTATAAGCTACACTGAAAATAGTCCAAACTATCTCCATATGCTGAGACTTCCCACCTCCCTCTCCCTCCCCAGATATTCAACAGTTAACTAACTCCCCAGAAGGTTCTACTGGCCAGTCAAGATTTAAAACAGGGGACGGAAATATTGTATGCTTATATGACTTTCTTAAGGCACGTACTATGTTACATTCACTTTTGTATTCCCAAGATCTACACAGTCGCTCAATAAATGGTTGTGACAAGAAGACTAGACTCAATAAAGCTAAGCTTTCATGAGATCACACCTCTCTAAGTAAATGTTTGAAATTTTGAAATAGAGAATGGACAACTGCCTTATGTTGGCTATTTGCTCACTATTTAAAAACACTTAGAAGAGACATTAATTCATGTCATTTTTTTACCTATTGTTAAATAGGTATAGGTAAGATGGCTACTGTATATAGAAAAGGACATTTTGCATACCTGTCTGTACTGGCTTGTCATATGGGTAAGTAACCAGCACAGAACCACCATCTAAAGCAACAGAGAGACTGAAATCCTGTTTCTGAATCAAATTTTCAATGATGGCTTTAGTCTCAGGCTGGGAAGCATTACCTAAAAAAAGAGAGAAGCCAAATATAAATGACCAAGTTCTAAATCTTAGTGTGGATATCTATGAAATATGTGAATATCTATGTGAGCACAGTTAATATGATTAAAAAATTGTAATTACTCATTTTTCCATAAACTACTGTCTGAATCAAGAGACACATGTATAAGGGAAGTTACTTAGCATTTCATATACTTTGAGATAATATGCGCACATCAATGCCACTAAGCAAGTATAAGAAAATTCTTACCAAAAAAAAAAAAGATGGATACTAAAAAACAACTTACTGGGACACCTGGAAGAGTTCACATCTGCATCCGCTGAGGTCACATCTGGATCTGATGTGGCCACACCTTTTTCCCACCTGGTCCCACCTCCTCTTACCTGGTCCCACTTCCCTTTACCTGGACACATGTTTCCCCGCCCCTACTCTAGATAAGGCCTAACCCAGGGCCAGACGCTCTCTTTGCCAGCCACGTGGAATGCCAACCTGGCCTGGTCCCAGCAGATATACTGAATAAACCTACCCCTTACCCGAATACCATGTGTGTGGTGCTCTTCTTACTTGGCTACCTCTTTTTATAAACCTAACAGTGGGTAGCTCCTAAAATAAATAGGGACCCCTTAGATCATTGTGATAAGAAAGATTCCAATACCCTTGAGATCAGGAGGGAAAAAGTTCACTGATGGATTAATCATGTACATCCTATTTGCAAATTACTCAACCTCATTCAGCTTATGTTCCTTATTTAATGTTCCAGATAATTATTATGAAAATTGAAATATACAATGTAGTGACTCATCTATTTGACTTGCAATATGACTTGGAATACAGCAGAATCCAGAAAAACAGTAGCTGCTATTGACTCATCCTTCCTTAACTATCTTCTCTTGCCATTCTCTAGCCCACCTTTCACCCTACGTTTTAGATGCATTTGTACTTTCATGTTCTCTTTTCATTTTAACCATTAATAAATTGACTTAAAGTATTAAAAAAAAAACCAACAACTTAAGGGGCTGGGAAGGTAGCTCAGTGGTAGAGTGCTTGCCTTGCATGCATGAGGCCCTGTGTTCAATTCCTCAATACCACATAAGCAGAAAAAACTGGAAGTGGTGCTGTGGTAGAGCAGTAGCCCCAAGCTACAGCACCCAGGCCCAGAGTTCAGGCCTCACAACTGGCCAAAAAAACCCAAAAAACAACTTAGGCTTGGCACCCATGGCTCATGCTTGTAATCCTCGCTACTCAGGAGGCTGAGATTTGAGGATTACAGTTCAAAGCCAACCAGGACAGGCAAGTCTGTGAGACTCTTATCTCCAATTACAGAAAAAAGCTGGAAATGGTGCTGTGGCTCAAGTGGTAGAGAGCTAGCCTTAAGCAAGAGAAGCTCAGGGACAGTGCCTAAACCCAGAGTTTGAGCTCCAGGACCAGCAAAAACGACAATAACAAAAACAAAACACCATTTTTTTACAATTACTTAATGATAATAAATCACCTATCTTTGAAACAAAACAAGATTCTCAGAAAGCAAGGTGTTTTCTGCAGCACTACTGGCAAAAGCAAAAAAATAGAAACAAATGGTTGAACTAGGTTACTACCATATAGTAATAGTCATCAATGAAAATGTTAGATTTATGTCGGCCAGGTGCTGGTGGCTCATACTTATAATCCTACCTACTCAGGAGGCTGAGATCTGAGGATTGAAGCCAGCCCAGGCAGGAAAGTCTATGAGACTTTTATTACCAATAAACTACTCAGAAAAAGCTGGAAGTGGTGCTGTGGTTCAAGTGTAGAGTTATTGCTTTGAGCACAAAGAGGTTCAGGGACAGTGTGCAGGCCCTGAGCTCAAGCCCCAGGACTGGGAAAAAAAAATCTATGTAAGTAGTGAAGTGAAAAGATGTCAATGATATAGTGACCAAGAAGAAGTTACAGAATAATATGAATAGATGATAATCACATTTAAGTAAATAAAAAAGCCCCTTCAAATTAGCATATACATAGATATTGTGTGAGAACACACAATTGGGTGTGGAGAGAGAAAAACAATACACATCTCTATACAAGCTAGTCATAACCTAGACATAGAAGTTCTTCATTAACTCATCTATAAAGTAAAACCAGAGAAAGAATGATCTCCGAAGCACTTGAATGATCCAAAACCTAGCCTTACTTGTGAAGTCTGTATCCAAGTCTTTGCCACGGGCATTTGTTTGTCCTGTCTTTGAAGTACAGTCTTTCTCCTGTGCTCGCTCTCGCCCATCTGGATTTAGAGAAGGAACAATCACAATCCTAGTCCTGTCAACCAACTAAAACAGAAACAGAAATCAATGAATTAGTTTATTAGCTCCATATGGAATCAACAGCATTTTTGCATGCCTCAAATAGTAAGTCTTTATCATTCTTTATTATTGGGGGCAGGGAGAGAAGTTTTAGCATTTAAATTCAATGGACTTGCACTTGCTAGACAAGCACTGTACCACTTGAGCCACATATCCAGCCTCTTTTTTTTTTGCTTTAGTTATTTTTCAGACGTGTCTTGGATATGATTTCCTACCTACATCTCTCATGTAGCTGGAATAACAGTCGTGTGCCACCATATCTAGCTTATTTCTTGAGATAGGGAGAGTCTCCCTAAGTTTTTGCCTACAATGGCCTCGAACTGACCCCAATCTTGATCTATGCCTCCCCAAGTAGCTAGAATTAAAGGAATCAGCCACTGTGTCTCCCTATTACCCTCCCACCATTGTTCATTTTGAATAGTTAATTTAAATGGCAGGGCTAAAAATAATTAAATGTAAAGTACAATTCTCTCTTGCTCCTAATAAATTTAAAACAAAAGCAAAGTACTACTGTACAACTAATTTTACAGTGACTTTTTTTTTTATCACAGAACCACTACCAGCAGGCCAGATTCTGCTGCTGCTGCTGCTGCTGTTGCTCCCTCTGTCTCTCTCTGTCTCTCTCTCTTTTACTCTGTCTCTCTCTCTCTCATATGCAGGTCTTGAACCCAGGTCCTGGGCACTGTCCTTTATCCTCTTTACTCAAGGCTGGCTCTCTCCCACCTGAACCATAGCTTCATTTCCAGCTTTTTGATGGGTAATTGAGGATAAAAGTCTCATGGATTTTCCTGCCCAGGCTGGCTTTGAACCTCAGGTCTCAGCTTCCAGAGTAGTTATGATTATAGGTGTGAGCTACTGGCATCCAACAGCTGCTGCTTTTCTTATGTAAGGTTTTATTGGCACATATGCTACTCTTGTGCCATATGGCAGAGTTGAGCAGTTACAGAACAACTGCCCTACAAAGCCTAAAATATGTACAATTTGGGCATTAACAGAAACAATTTTTTTGCCAGGTGTCAGTGGCTCATGCCTGTCATCCTAGCCACCCAGGAGACTGAGATCTGAAGATCACGGTTCAAAGCTAGCCTGGGCAGGAAAGTCCATAGGACTCGTATCTCCAATAAACCACTCAGAAAACCGGAAGTGGCTCCAGTGATAGAGTGCTAGCCTTTAGCTGAAGAGCTGAGGGACAGCGCCCAGGCCCAGAGTTCACAACCAACAAAAAAATAAAATAAAAATTTTTTTTGATCACTAGCTTAAGTCAGTAATAATGATGAAACTACTTTCTGGATTAAAAGTTGAAATGTATAATCTGCAAATATCAATGTGCATCTGGACAATGAAACAGAGGAGCTAAATCAGCATGTTAAGAAAAATAAGAACAAATATTTGTCTTACACACAATTTCTTCTCCAGATGACCATAGCACTAATACCTATAGCAAGAACTAATTTCTGATATACTACATCCTACCACTTCAGCCACAGTTCCATGGAGATAAGATTTTCTTGCTGAGGCTGTCTTTGAACTGCCATCCTCAGATCTCAGCCTCCTGAGTAGCTAGGACTATAGGCATGAGCCACCAGCACCCAGCCTAAAAGTGTATAAATTCTAATAAGCAATTTAAAAGTTTGGTGATTTCGTTTTTTTTTTTTTGGTCAGTTGTGGGTGTGAACTCTGAGCCTGGGTGCTGTCCCTGAGCTGTTCAGCTCAAAGTAAGTGCTCTACCACTTGAGCCACAGCACCACTTCCAGTTTTCTGGTGGTTTATTGGAGATAAGAGTCTCAGGGACTTTCGTGCCCTGTCTGGCTTTGAACCTCAATCCGCAGATCTCAGCCTCCTGAGTAGCTAGGATTACAGGTATGAGCCACCAATGCCCTGCAATTTAAAAGTTTTAAATGGTACTCGGATATCACTGAGTTTCTTCCTTTTAAAGCATGTTAAAACAGGCTATTCTCTTACCTGGGTAACAGCTGGGTTCTTCTTGTAGTTCAGGCAGAGAAATTCTGCCAGAGCCAAAAGCAGTTCAGTGCCAACAGGAGCATTTCCATGGATACCAGCAACAAAACGAATCTTTGGTTCTTCAGGCTCAGATATGTTGGGCTTATTGGAGATTTCAAGGGACCAAATATGACGATATTCAGCACTCTGTCCCAAACTTTCAGAAACCAGACACAAAAAAGTCAGCAAATGATGAAGCATTAGGTTAAACTTATGGAATTTGAACATTAAAATGTCAGAAAACCTTTTGAAAATTAGTATTCCATGACCAAATCAATTGGAAGAAAAATATTGTCAGATTCAGGAAAGATTACAATTCAGTTTAGCTTTTCTTCAAACTTAGCCCTTCCCATACCATCCATCTTCACAATATGTGTACTATCTCCTACCATCTATGGCTTTCAAATAGATGTGCTTAAATTTTGATTATGGAAACATTTAAATAGATATCTTACTTTCAATCTAAATTAATCTATGTAAATATGATAACTTAGATGTTACTGTAAATGTGATTTCACAGTAAAAACAATTCAATGAAACAAAACTGATCAAGTGTTCTGCTTGCCCAGAAGCCCTGAGACTTAAGGCCTGCTTTCTTTACTATTAGAGGAGGGTCACAAGAGTCACAAAGGGCAAATGTGCTAGCATTATGGAGGAAGATGAATGGAATAACAAAATCGTTGCTTCTGTGTTATGTTATTCAACAATGCTTAGTGCCTATTGGTTTACTGGAGAAAACTCTTGCTCCCATCAAATTTACCACATTTGGGGAGAATAGTTAACTAAAAGCACATCTTGGATTACAAGGTTAAAAAAAAATTAAGCAAGCTAAGAAAACTGTAAAATATTGTCTAATTTTGGGTTTCTTTTAAAAATTAGGTCTACAGGACTGGGAATGTGGCTTAGTGGTAGAGTGCTTGCCTAGCATGCATGAAGCCCTGGGTTCAATTCCTCAGTACCACATACACAGAAAAGGCACTTGAGCTGTTGCTCAAGTAGTAGAGTGCTAGACTTGAGCAAAAGAAGCTCAGGGACAGTGCGCAGGCCTTGAGTTCAAGGCCCAGGACTGGCAAAAAAAAAAAAAGTCTATAAGCTCTCAGCAGCATTAAGACAGATGTGATCTTAAAACCTGACCTACAGCCGGGCGCTGGTGGCTCACGCCTGTAATCCTAGCTACTCAGGAGGCTGAGATCTGAGGATCTCGGTTCAAAGCCAGCCCGGGCAGGAAAGACCGTGAGACTCCTATCTCCAATAAACCACCAGAAAACCGGAAGTGGCACTGTAGCTCAAGTGGTAGAGCGCCTGCCTTGAGCTGAAGAGCTGAGGGACAGCGCCCAGGCCCAGAGTTCAAGCCCCACGACCAACCAAAAAAAAACCTGACCTACATAGAAATATTCAAGAATCAGTTGAGGAGGGAAGGTAATCAGCATTGTCAAAGTAAATTATTACTCTGCATCTATGAATATTGTAAATCAGAATTTAAGAAGCTAAAATCTCTGGTAAAATTAAAAGGACCAATGAGGAAAGACAAAGTAATAATGTAAAAGGCTACATATTTATGAGATATGCAGATGTGACTTGTAAAATAAAGCAAAAAGTGAAGACACTCTCTACACAATAAATAATAAGGGACTCAACTAATCATGGAAATAATTGTGTAGAAATTATAACAAGACATAAAGAGGATATAATGAAACAGGGAAAGTAAAGCAGAGAAGCAGCAGAAAGTGAAAGAATGTCTCAGCCATTAGTCTTATGTTAACTAATAGGAGTATTTTCCCAAAGCCTCAATCAAAGATGTCCCTAAAGCTTTGGGTACGAGACTGTGAGTGGAGACTAAAGTACAGGAAATGACAGAAACCAGGCCATTCTCTAATTGTAAGGGAAGGATACCTCATAGGCAAACAGATGGTTATAAGCCCTCTCCCCCCAACACACCTTTCCCCAGCAAATAAAAGCAACTAAGCAATATTTAGTCAGAATATGATTCTCCAGTTGAAAAGTGAAAAGTTTTGAAATAAGTTATAGAAAGCATTAGGAAGAGTAATTTTACATTTCCTAAGGGCTCAAGCTATGCATTACTAATCTAATAAATAATTCTCCTCCAATGTTCTTCACAAAGGTCTCAAGATTCATTCTCAGATCTCTAAATACCTGTTAAGAAATAAGTAAACACTATACAGTCAGCTCCCACATACCTCTAAATAAATTATGATACATTTAATATAGTTAGTGCTGAATAAACCTTCTTAAAGAAAAGAGAGAGAGAGAAGGAAGTAGAGGTATAAGAAAGGAAGGGAGGAAGGGACAGGGGCAGGTAGACAGGCAGAAGGTAACACTTACGTGGTAAGATTTGTAATCTGTGGATAGTTCATTACAAGTCCTCTCAAAAATTCTGATAAGTCTTTGTATGAATGATATCGATAAAGAGCCAGATTTGAGGAGGAGCTTAACATGAGACCTTCCAACCCATTCTCAGCTGAAAGGTCTTTGATTAAAGCTTCAAATTCTTTAGTAGTTGGGTCACTGGTATCCTCGGTGTTGGTGCTATCCCCCTTTCCTTTCTTTGATTCATTGTTTGCATCTGTTGATGATCGAACAAGTGTAAAGTTGACCTGAATAGCACCTTCACCCCTGACAGTCACATTCTTGGTAACTGGATTATACCTAGAATAAAGCAGACAGATCAGGGCCACAGTTCTTCAGCAGCAATACCCAAACACTGAGAAACAGAGACACTCTGGGGATAGATGAACCAGAGGAAGAAATGGGGTATATCTTCCTAAAGTGTTTAGCTTTTAGGTAAATTATAATTCTTTAAAACATTAATTTACAAAGAAAAGACCCTAGTATATATAAAATTTGAGTGAGTCTCTAAAAATTAATAGTATTTGCTGGTGGCTCACACCTGTAATCCTACTCAGGAGGCTGAGAACTGAAGATCTTAGTTCAAATCCAGCTCAGGCAAACAAATCTATTAGATTCTTTTTTTTAATTTTTATTTATTTTTTATTGTGAAAATATTCTACAGAGGGGTTACAATTACATGGGCAAGATAATGAGTACATTTCTTATCAAGCATTGTAGCCTTATATTTCCAATTAACCATCAAAAAGCCAGACATGAAGGTGTGGCTCAAGTAGTAGAGCATTAACCTTGAGTGAGAAAGAAAAGTGAGAATGAGAGGCTCTGAGTTCAGGACCCAGTACTAGCAATACACATATAAAAAAAAGCTTGATAACATGACTTCAAATGAAAATTTGTTGCACACCATGTATCCTGGAATATAAATTCCTTGTCTGCTCTTAGGGTACGTGGGTGGGAAAATATGCGAGGTGCTAACTTAGGGCATTTCCATAGGCACCATTCCTGTCTCGGTTCTCAAATACCCTGCTGCTTTAGTTTCTCTAATACACTGCCAAAATGGATGAAACAGAGAATTGTCCTCATTACTCATGAGTGTGTGAGATTCTAAACCCTCCATTTATGGACCACTAGATATTTGAGAGACTTTTTTTGTTTTCATATACTTAGCTTCACTTCAATTGATCTTAAAACTAACACTTCAGAAATAAGTTGGCTGGCCAGGCCTGCAATCCTAGCTACTTAGGAGGCTGAGATCTAAGGATCAGGGTTTGAAGCTAGAGTTTATTTGAGGACATACAATTCCTATCCGAAAGTAACTGGCAAAAAGCCAGAACTAGACTGGCGCGGGTGGCTTATGCCTGTAACTACTATAGCTACTCAGGATGTTGAGATCTGTGGTTCAAAGACAGCTCAGGCAAGAAGACTCTTATCTTTAATTAATCATAGAAAAAGCTGGAAGTGGCATTGTGGCTCAAGTAGTAGAGTGCTAGCTTTGAGTGAAAGGAGCCCAGGGATTCTCAGATCTCACCCCCTTGAGTAGGTAGGATTACAAGTGTGAGCCACCAGCACCTGACCTCTCTAGGATGTTAAAGAAATAATGCTCCAGAATGAAACTATGTTTGTTTTATCCCCAAGCCTTCAATTTAAATCATTCATCACTTACCCTCGAGCAGATGCTGTGATTTTGTAAGTTCCAGGAACTAAAAGGCGCCAGTAATCTCCAGTTTTGTAAGTAGTCACTGGGTGATTAATTTCAGCAACACTGATGGTGGCATTTAATATACCCCTGCCATCTGTGGCATCAAGGACAAATCCTTTGACACCTTGATGAACCTGGATGAAGGACAGAACACCCAGATTTTAGTGGTAAAGATCATCATTTAATTACTTTCAGAGCTCACATGTTAAACTAACAGATTGTTAATCATGTAAACTAATGAAACAGGAGTTTAGGACTGTGGAGTAGACCTAAATAAAAATGCTCATTAAACAACATATTTCAGTTTCTAAAGGCTAATTGTTCATAGGCTAGGTTTGTCTATCATAAGAAATATTAAAAACACTGTTAAAAGTTTAGAACATTATGACCATTTCATGACATAGGATATTCTGCAAGAAAACAAGCTTGGCCTCTTCTGAAGGGAAATGCCATTGAAAAAAAGGAATATTCTGGATTAGAGCACTGGGTTTGATTCCTTGGTAGCACATTAGAAAAAGTAAATAGGATTAATTTAAAAAATATTTATAGTCCATCTTCCTTGACTTGAGAAATGCTTAGATATGCAGCTAATTCATGTAGGCCTTTTATGAAGATGGTAAAAAGTTCTCACTAATCATTAACTACCTTGTTTAGTCATTTTCTTCAACCCTTCCACATTTATAAAAATAAACTCACTTGTATCCATGACATTTTCAGATAAATATACTAAACTAATTGGAACATTCAGAAGGAGTAAATATTAGAAAGGCTCTATTCTCACATCACTATTTGAAAACAATGAGCCCTCCCAAAACCCTTGCCCATGGAAAAAAAATCAAAGTTCACTCCTGAGTACCTGTTTCATAAACTGGATTAGAGATCTTCGATTCTGTTCCCAGAAGTTTGGCAGATCTTTTTCAAATGGGTATTTCACACAACCTAGTTCAATAGTTACTTCAAAGCAATTTGTTTGTAAATAGTTCCAGTCCTGCATACCACCTAAAAGTCAAAAATTTTAAAGAAATCACTGAAAAAGTTCTAAATAGTTCACATCCTGAAAGGTTTTGGTTTTTACTACTAGTAATACATCACATTCATCTTGGATCTGAATTGGTTGAAAAACAATGCATTTGTTCTCTACCATTCATAGTCTAGGTAAAACATCTGTACTTCCATGTCCAATAAAATTCACATGTCTTAGTGTTAGAGTGCTTGCCTAGCATGCATGAAATGGTCCAAGTCCACAGTGCCACATAAACAAAAAAAGCCAGAAATGGCACTGTGGCTCAAGTAGTAGAGTGCTAGCCTTGAGCAAAAGAAGCTCAGGGATAGTGGCCATGCCCTGAGTTCGAGCCCCAGGACTGGCAAAAAATAAAAAATAGCCGGGCGCTGGTGGCTCATGCCTGTAATCCTAGCTACTCAGGAGGCTGAGATCTGAGGATCGCTGTTCAAAGCCAGCCCGGGCAGGAGAGACCATGAGACTCCTATCTCCAATAAACCACCAGAAAAC